CATCTTTCTTCTCAGTAGATTCTAAGACATTAGTTTAACTATGCATTTTTCCATATGATGTATTCCAGGACCTGAAAGAAGGTGGAGGTGAAAGTAGAAGAAGCAGATGACTAAGTTTACACTGAATTTGCTTTTTCATTGAATTTTTTTAAAAAAGAAAAGGCCACCATCCAGTACACTTAATTTCTCCAGTCCAGCTTTACTAGTATGTGTAGACTGCAGCAAATATTAGATCACTAAGTTGGAAGGATAGTAGGATCCCACCTAAAGCAGAGCTTTGCTTTCCACTTTTATAAAATATTAGGTGGTTAAACTGAAGTTATGTCAGAAAAGTATTAAAAACTAAAAATTATCGAACTCTGCAGTCCTTTCAGTTTGGGCAACATCTAGAGAATTTGTGGTTCCTATATTGTAAAAGTGGTGCAGGTTTGGATGCCCTGGAGAGAACCAAGGTTCAGTTATCCCGACACAAAGGAGTTCAGCTTCTCTGATCATGCAGAGATCACAAAGTCACTGAGTGCCAAAGCTGTAGGGAAGGTGCAAGGTCAACTGCTTTCAGCCTTTCTGATGGCATCTATCCTTTTCTTTTCTTTTTTTTTTTTTTTGAGAGAGAGAGAGAGAGAGAGAATTTATTTATTTACTTTTTGGCGGACACAATATCTTTGTTGGTATGTGGTGCTGAGGATCGAACCCGGGCCGCACACATGCCAGGCGAGCGCGCTACCGCTTGAGCCACATCCCCAGCCCCAAGCATCTGTCCTTTTCTATCACCCTATATCTATTGCCCTCTCTTTGGTTAACAGAGCCTCCGTCTATTTCCTTTACAAAACTCTTTGTTCCATCTTGGTAGGCTCTTCAGACTTTTCCTAAACAAATATGGTATCTCTCTTCTGGGAATTTGAATCTTACATTGAGAAATTTGAGTTAAAAAAAAAAAAAAAAAAAACCTGTTCAAACTGACTTTACCCTATAGTGGTAGTGAGATTTGCACTGCCTGGGATGGTAACCACTAGTTACATGTGGTCAATGTTATTGAAGAACTAAATTTGTATTTTTCTTCAATTTTAATCAATCTAAATGTAAATGGTCACATGAAGTCACTCTACTCATTCCTCTTAATTCAATCTTTAAAACAATCCTGGTTCCAGCCCTTTGTGATACCAAGCTTTCCAACTTTTTCTCTTCCAGTCTGAATTTTCATGTTTCTTTTTTCCTGTTTTAATATTTTTGATTTTACTGAGGCAGTGTCTATTTCCACTATTTATGTCAAAAGAATCTGTATTGATACATACCTCCTTCTTTGAAGATAGAATAAAAAATTTGAAGAGTCTGCTAAGTTCTGCGAGTAAGTTAGGACCAGAGTCCAGATGAAACCAGGTTAACCAACTGCTTTTCAGTATATATGCTTCCTTCTTTAGAGTTGAGTGGCAGAAGTCTTACAGGGAAGGAAATACTACATTTCTAGGAAACTCAGTAGGATCAAGAACAAGTTCTGGGATTTCTTATCACTGAGATCTTAATGCCTTATTGGACTTTGAACTCTGTGGCCATAATTAAGTATCTGAGACCAGACTGCCAGATTGTTCTTAATTGTAGGTTAAAAAAAAAAAAAAAGGAATTTACATGCTGAACAGCTATAGAAAGAATGGGTCACTGATGTAGTTAACACAATTATACACATAGTAAAAGCATCATTAAGCAAAAAACCCTAAACAGCAAAGAATATATACTGTGTGCCTCAATTTATGTGACAGTTTAGCATTGTTTATCCAAAATGGTGGTCACTAGCCACATGTGAACATTTACATTTAGACTGATTAAAATTGAATAAAAATACAAATCTAGTTCCTCAATAACATTGACCATATGTACTAGTGGTTACCATCCGAGGCAATGAAAAAATATCAAATATAGACTATTTTCTTCTTCACAAATAGTTCTACTGGATAACATGTTACTTGAAAATATGTACTTAAATTATAATGACAAAAAAAGGCAAGACAGTGCTTGCCTAAGGACCTCAGTGAGGGAGGATGGACTGCAAAGGAGTCTGGGGGGTAATGGAAATATTCCATATCTTGATTATGATGGTAGATAATGTTGTATAATGTATCAAAACTCCTTAAATTGAGCACTTTAAATCAGTGATTTTTCTTTTTTAAAAAATTTTTTTGTAGTTGTAAATGGACAGAATGCCTTTATTTTATTTGTTTATTTTTATGTAGTGCTAAGGATCAAACCCACTGCTTCACACATGCTAGGCAAGTGCTCTGCCACTGAGATATAGCCCCAGCCCAAATGGATGAATTTTATTATACACAAACTGTGTATCATAAGGCTAAATCTAAAAAGTCAAGTGTTTTATGGAAATTATTTTAATCATCTGTAAAACTTATTGCTAGGTGAATTTTACAAACCTATAAGCAGGTTATTCATCTACTGTGTAATATGTTGCTGGTGCTTAGATGAATCAGACAGAAAGCCTGGCTTCAAGTTGTTTGTGGTCTAGTACTAAGATGAATCATACTCAAAAATAGCTAGAATCAACGAGGAAAGTTGTAGGATCCCTGACCAAACACAAGTGTGGATATGATGATTTCAGACATTACAGGTAGAGATTTCTTTTATCTGGAGGGATGAGGGACATTTTTTCAGTTTTTGAAGGACGTGCATTTGAGGTTTTAAAAATCTTTGGTGGAGAACAAAATATGATTTAAGGCAGGAGATCAACCAGAAAAGTACACAACCTGGAAGAGAGACTGCATAAAATAGAGCAGTAGTGAAACATTTCATGGCTATAAGCGAGAAGAGCTTGCAGTATGAGTCGCTCTGAGTGTGGCAGAGTGCACATTCTTAGCTGCTGGAAGTTGAGAGGGAAGAAGCACTGAATCTAGTGTTCCAGACACTGAATGATGCTGCTTCCTTGAGCCCTTTCTCCTTGTCTTTATATAGATCAAACATGTTCACAGACATCCATTACACAGTTCAAAAAGACAATTACCTTTTCCTAGGCTTCTATGTCACAGTCTATTACAACCTCTGCCTAAAAAACTTACAGTCTCAAAAGAGTATCTAACTTGCGTACCAAGAAAATAATTCATACATTTAAGTAGTAACCTGAGTCTCCTGGGGGGAAAAGGATGCAAATAAGAGGCAGTTATGATAACTATAGTATAATTGTCACTTATTTTCCCAGGTTGTGGATGGTTATGTGATATTAGTATGGTGTTGAAATCTAAAGAGTTTGTTATTTTTTTTCCTCCTTAGTCAAAGTAACTCTGCCTATTTATTTCTATTATGTAGTATGAACCACTATTTTTCATAATTACTTATATAAAATTGGTCCTTCTAAGTAAATTTAGAATTTTTTATAACAACTATTGATATTATGGCATATATTTAAAATATTTTAATATGAGTTAAGCTATAAATCTTTTAAAATTAAAAAAAAACAGGAGGAATATTTGAAAACTGATTATTTGGGAGTCGACAGTTCTAGATGGTAATTTAGAATAATAGTCCTTTCTTACTTCCTAGAAACTTTGGATTATATATATCAGACCTGGAAAGATCACTAGACACTGCTACTCCCAAGGGTGGTCCAAGGGCCAGCCATATAGGACTCCTCAGAAGGTGTTAAGAAATGCAGAGCCTCAGGCCCCACCCCAGACCTACTGAACCAGAATCTGCACTAACAAGATTTCCAGGTGACTCACAGGCACACTAAAATTTGAGACCTCTGCACTTGAAGCTATCATCTCCCTTGTTTTATAAATGGGAAAACTCATGACCTGTGTGACAGACCCACTTGGCCTGGTCACAGGATATTGATTTTCCTCAATTTAAGAACTTTGTATTCAGGTCATTTGTAATTGCCTATAGGAGGAAAGAAAACCAAGCTCTTTAATTCCAATTAACTATCTAATTAATTAGTAAAATGATCTTCCCTTCAAGTTTCACATTTTGTAGAACAAGCTGTTTGATTTGGCTGGGGCTCAGGCCGGCATGTTTGTGAATTTCACAATTCACAGATGTTAGACACACTCGGGCTAAGTAAAGGAAGAGAATGTCAAGTTTTAAATAGCTTTTCCCTTCCATCCTGGCTGAAGCAACAAATAAAACATCTTTATGAAACACATTTTGAACCAGAATTTCTTATAGGGAAATGTCAAATTTCTTTGCAAATGACTTTAGATTGTCTCACAACGTGGACATCTTCTGATGTCACTAGTTTACAGGTGTCCTATAATTAGAAGACAAATGGAAGATGTGAACTTGCCATGTTAGTAATACTTGGGCATACTTTTTTTTTTTTCAGTTCGAGTCTATTCTAATTTAGCTTTTGAATCATATTTCATTCAATTTCCAAATCTACAGAACCAAGATAAGTTTACAACACATATTCCAACAGGAAGGAAATTATTCTGTATGTATACTTTTCCTGATATTAATTATTAAATGCATGGATGATTTCATGGTTTTATTTCAAAGTAGGTCAAGTCAAAGCAAAACCAAAAATGAAACGGTAAGACAGTGAACTACACTGAAATAAACTAGAACATTTTCATTAGCAGGCAATTTGAAATACTTCTGTTAAGCTTCAAAAAATGTTCTGAAATAAAATATGATTTCCCATTTTAATATCACTTTAAGAAAATTATTATATATACATGTATTGGTGTGTTTGAGGTAGAATATTTAAATAAATCAGTGAAAATTGTTTTATTTTATTGGGGGCAGGCAAAATTTCTAAAGAGATATGAATGGATCTCTCTCTCTCTCTCTCTCTTAGTTGAGACTGAAGAGTGCGTTCTAGGTTAAATATAATCAAGGAATTTCCCTGTCTTTGCTATTTGAGATTGTGACCACAACAGGCGGTTGGCAGAAAGGAAGGCTGAAGGGGGGAGGAGGGGAAGAGATTTAAAAAGAAAAAAACACTTCCCTAAGCAGCCCTGCAAAACATTTTAGCCCTAGACGCAGTCACAGAAGTCCTCAAATCAAGTCAGAATCCAGATACAAGGGAACGATATTTAGCTGGAGCGAGGTGGACACTCCTCAGCTCAGTTCTATCACAAAAGTCCAGGCTGCTGAAATTAAACTCTGATGCCATTCATGCCGACATCCAATCAGGAGAGAGAGCAGAAGTTCAGAGATGCCTACAAGTTGCCAACAAGTGTGGCTACCATACATCAAGGACTCTAAAGCCGTGATAGAAGGGGAAGAACAACTTTAGAGAGGATGCCCAGCTGGTAAGAATCAACTGTTTATGATGTTTTAGTCACTCGATGGATTTCATTGGCTAAAACGAAGAAATGCTCCGCCTCTTTGCAAATGTGTGTGAAGGGGGGAAGTGTCTAAACTTCTATGTCTGATGGCATTTGACCCTATTGCTTTTAGCCTTCTGGCTAAATATCTATATATACACAGGTGTATGTGTATATTTTATATAGTTGCTCTCCGTTGGTTGATATCAAGGAGAGTTGAAGGAAATGAATTTTGAAACTTCACGGTGTGCCACCCTACAGTACTGCCCCGACCCTTACATCCAGCGGTGAGTTTAAATGTGACATAACTTCTATCAAAAAACTTAATTTCAGTGCCTTGTGTATTATGAGTGTTTTTGCTGTGTACAAAGAGGAACCCCTCCTTGTTTGGTCTGCACAGTGATATTATTTTGGATTTTATGTAGACTTAAAATGATCTGTGGGCATCTTTTCTAAATTTGTCATTTAGTTTTATCTCCAGATCTACAAAATGACAAAGTTTGAAAACAATTCATTTTTTAAAAAATTATCATACCACTTTAAGATGTTTAAAATATATTATTTGCCTTGCCCAGCATCCACCCACTCAATAAAATGAAATTGCACTGGACAGGGATATAATAATCTATGAATAATCTTCAAGTCAAAATAAATACTGAAAAGTTTTGATTTATATATTAAAAACAGATAAATAGCCATTGTTATACAAAACAGATTGTGGCTTGTCATTTTAGCTTTAAGTAATATTTTCTTTTTTATTTGTTTCATAACAAACATCATCTTTCAACATATTTGACTTTTAAAACCTGTAATTATACTGAATCTTATTTGTGTTTGTACTAAGAAATACTTGCCTAGTACTGAGAGGAAATATTATTGATAGTGCACAATTGTGTGTGTGTGTGTGTGTGTGTGTGTGTGTGTGTGTGTGAGTGTAAGAGAGAGAGAAAGGGAGAGGGAGAGAGTGTGTTTCAAATTAGAGTTTGCTATTTTTAAACTGGTAAATGAAATCTGAACAGTGTTTTTCCAGTCATAAAGTTATGGGAAATATTCAAGTCATATGGAGTGGTGTGATGTTGTTAATTTAACAGCATGAGATTTGATGTTGGAATTTCATACTTTATTTTAAAGACGAATGAGAGAGATCCTCTGAGTGTTAAAAACGGCAGGGTTAGAAAGGGGTTAACTTGACATTTGCCACCTGTGCCTATTGGAGCCTCTACTAGAAGTGGCATCGAATGGCTCTGGACAGGACTTAGTTACGGCATATTATGAAAGATGTGTGATCTGCTTTCATTAATATGATGTGCCACCGTGTAGAACACTGATATAGACTATGCAGACTTTGTTTCTCTTCTTGTGAGGTTTCTGTTGGGATGTGTGAGAAAGTGGAAGAGGCAGAATAAGGCAGAAAGGTAAATGGAATGGCACAAACAGGAAGAAGAGAGAGAAAAAGGAAAAAGTAGCTGGTCTCCCAGACTCAACTGGGAAATGTGAATGGTGACATGATTCCTGCCTTCCTCTCTGTGGGCCACAAACAGAATGACAGCACAAATGAATCATCCTGCAGTTCATCTTCTGAGATGACTTGAACATTAGATTTAGTTATAGATGGGTTGATTAAAAAAGCAAAACACCCCAAATTTTCTATTTCTCAGAGATTTTTTCATCTCAAAATTATCAACTTCATTGTTCATCTTTCAAAATAATATTTCTAAGAACATAATTTTGATGAAACATCAACCCCTTAATGTTTCCCTTGAAGACATCTTTCCTAAAGTAGGTACCTGGACCTCTAGCAGCTTTAGAAGACATTTTCTTCTACTGACTAGCACCTCACACTTCAAATCTGCACATGTCTTTATAGAGACATTTCTAGTGATTATCAAGAGAAGCTGATAAATATAAATAAATAAGGAAATGGCTTTTCATATTTCCCTGACAATTTGTGAGTTCATGGAATAAATATTGTCTCAGTTTTTAACTTACTATAAAATTCTAAGGAGTAATAGAATTTTAAAATACTTTTAAATTTTCCTAGAATACCCTGAGCTTCCATCAGGGTGAGTGTCATTTTGGGGGAAAGGTCATGAACATGTGGCAATCTCTGAGATTGCAGTTCAGAATGGTCAGGGAACATTTATTTGCATAATAAATTGTTTTAGGCTAAAATATGTACTTCTAATTTGTGATGAAAACTGTATCATCAAATAAAGAGGAGAAATATTTGTTACTAATCATCTGCTGTGTGTAAGGCACTGCAAGTACAAGATGAATAAGATGTGTATAAAGTTCATTTATGTAACTCTAAAGAATTATATGTTTAATGTAAGATATTTTCTTCAAGTATATTAACTATTTTGTCAAATAGTTTAAGGACTGAATTGTTACTCTTATCCATCCACGTTGAATAAATAATGAATAAATGAAATATCACTATAAAAAATTTAGATACTATGTATTGTCAAAGTAAGTATCATACAATATTCTCTTTGATGCTCAATAAGTGACTGATTTTGAGTTGGTTTTTCTAAGCAGACAACCCTTGCAGTTCTCAGTTTACAAAATCTATTTTAAGAAAGACCAAATTTAATCATTCCATAATCATAGTCATTTACATACTTAAATTTGTCTTTCCTGACCTTGTCTTTAGAAAGAAGTCATGAAAGAATTTCTTAAAAAAAGAAAGGGCAGGATATCTTGATATTTTTAACAATAAGCTACCTTAATTCATGAATTTCCTTTTATCACAAAATAGAATAGGGATTCCACCTCTTGGGTCCCCTTCTTCCTCCGGGAGAAGTCTTTTCTGCTGTCCTTTAATAAACTTCTAATTTCTAAAAAAAAAAAAAAAATAGAATAAAAACATGTTATTATTGTTAGTTATGGAATATTAATGCCATTTCAAAAACGCCAGTTTTAATACAAATTTAATCTAATGTGTATGCTAATCATTCTCTCAGTTAAATGAGATTTCCCCCTGTTTTTTTTCTTTCCACCTGAACATATTAATATATATTATACATTTAATTATGTTCAGGATTGAGTCCATTTACTTAGGTCTTTGCAAAAACTTTTCTGAAAATCAAAAAGGCAATCAAAACTATGGTGATTATATTTTCTTTTGGTGATATGGCTAAAATCATACATATTATCATACGATTACTAACTTAATTTTCACAATAATATCAAAACATGGATGAAATTATGCAATATCAATAAGTAAGCAGTGGATTAGTTATCATTTCCTTATACACAAAAACTGTACACAGTGAGTTCATTTTGTTTTATTTTGTTTAATTATGTGAGTTCTCAAAATGAATCTAAAATTCAGCAGATTTTGGAGCTAAATCTTTATTAATTTACTTTGGGGGATATTATTTTGATCTTTTTGTTTTTGCAAACTTAAGTTTTTAGAATTGCCATCTAGTTTGTAAAAACAGATTATTTGAACCAAGTATTTCGGAGACAGATTAAATTCTTTCCAAATATCTTTTCAAAAACTAAATCAGTTGAAATGACAAGGATGAATTAAGATTAAACTTTGAAATAATATGATAACCAAGGTATAAGAATAAAGTAAAAGGAAACACCATTACAATTTGATCCACTCCTAAAATATTTTGTATTATTTTTCACAGTCACCCTTTACTTAAAAGCAGCAACAAACTGATAAAGTACTCAACGAGTTAGAAGAGTTTCTTGTGTGAATTACTTATTTGCTGTGAATTTTGTGCTTTGCTAAAGGCCAGCTTGATTGTGTTTCTAAATGCATCCTGAAAGGCAGCAATGTGACAGTCAATTGTAGTTTCTAATAAAATAATATGCAGGCAGATGTAGCTCTGTGTTAGGTGTCCTCCACACACCCTCCACATCTACCTGCATCCTTCTTTGTATTCTGTGTCCAGCAAGCTGACATCTAAAGATTGCATTAAACATTTCCTCTTTCCTCCCATTTCCTGTTGAGTTCAACAAATGGCAAAATGAAGTTGGGATACCCGTTTCCCGGAATGACTTCCTATTGGGTTATCTGTTAAAGACTGTAGATCCTGTCAAGGGGCCTTGTCACAGTTTGGGTCTCTTGACTTAGAGCAACTACTCCCCACCTCCCTTTCCTACAATCTCAGGGTCAGTAGCCGTTTCTAGCCACTGCTAATTCTAGAGAGCCACGTCATATCCCTTACCTTTAATATCCTTTTTATCTGCCAGGATCATTGCAAGACAAACAAAAAGTTTGCCCTTATAGTGGTTTATGTGCTTTATTAAGACTTTCTAAATAATTGAGATAGCATATACTAATATAATTTCTAATGTGAGATAAATGTTAAATACCTCCAGTTCAATGTGAAAACCAGGTATTAGCTATCACCATGATGACCAGATTTCTCTATCTGAAGGGAAGAAATGAGCCACCATGTACAATCTGTATGTTTTTATTTAGTACTTGAAATGAACCAAGGCTGAGCACAGGAAGAATATTAGATATTTCTTTCAGTAAATGAATATTGTTATGCTCTATCTGCAGGGTCTAACATATCCATTAGTCTTAAGCAGAAAAAAAAGTGCTTCAAACTTCAATTTGCACAAGAAAAAGTATTTCAAAATACCTTTATGACCAACTGTAGTTAACTAATACTACAATGCTGTTCTAATCCTGTGTGCTGCTGCCAAGCTTCACACGCATTTTATCTCAGAGAAAAAGGAATGGTAGCAGAGTATGCACAGAACTTGTCAAAGATCTGGATTGTGGTCTTAACTCCACTATTAACTGGTTAGATGACCTTCATGAAATTACTTAAGCTATCTAAACCAAAGTTGCTCATAGGTTAAGTAGGGATAATCTCTGATCTGCCATTCATAACAAGGACCTCGAGAATTAAACAAACCAATGCAACTAAGAAATGCAACTATGAAAATCTTAGTGTATTGCTCAGTTCTACTGTGTGTTAATGGGCCGAGGCTTCGTTCCCACAAATAATTGTTAC